GAGCTCAGATAAGAAGGTGATTTATCTTTGATCTGCTACATAAAGGGAAGACAAGACTGATTTCCTCTTCTGATATATGCACTAACTAGATTATTTTGAGTTTAATTTTATGCTTTTTAAGTGCACTTTAGTTTGAGTTGTTAAGAGTTGATAAACCTCTCTGTATATACATCTTAAAGCAGAAACCGTGACAGATGTTATTTAAACTATCCATTCAGCCCTTTTTTCGGTTATAAGCTGTTGCTTCTTTGATTAGCCCAATGCAATGGCAGTATTCCATGTTTTCAAACTTTGGTTTTATTATTATTCAGATATGGTGAGGCCAACAGATCAGTGGGTAACTGTCATTGAAAGATAGTCTGTACTAATAGTTCCCCAGAGCAAGGGACGTGCCTCACATGACAGGGAACCACTAGGTGGTGAGCACTAGGATCTGTCAGAAATCAAAAGGAGGGAGTGGGGAAATGTGGCTTATGGCTTCCACAGAAAGGGAGAGGTAAGGCAGGATAAGCTGATTTAGGACTGGTTTGTTTAGATCATTTCAGTGGGCCTGGGGCCTAGGAGCTGTCACTAAATGTTCATACCTGGTTTTGGGTTGATTAGGCAGGTAGGCAGTGGCTCTGAGTAAGAAAAGCCCAACAGAGAAGGTAGAAGGGATACTGGTTTTAGACTAGTTAGTTTGTATATGAAAGTCATGCTTTTAATATCCCTAAGAACTGGCTAGCCTGTAAGAGGCTGTCTCTCCAGGTTCAGCAAAGCCCAGATGTCAAAGAAGCAGAAAGATTCAAGATAAAAAGGCATGATTCAAGCCAGATGTGGTGGTAGTACATGCCTATAATCCCAGCAGTTTGGGAGGCCGAGGCAGGAGGATAGAAAGTTCAAAGCCAGCCTCAGCAAAATCAAGGCACTAAACAACTCAGTGAGACCCTGTCCCTAAATAAAATACGAAATAGGGCTGGGAATGTGGCTCAGTGATCGAATGCCCCTGAGTTCAATCCCTAGTAACTGCCCCCCACAAAAAAAGGCATGATTTATATTCCCAAGTACCAAACACAGTGCTGGAACCTAGTGAAAAAATTATTTACCTCGGAGAACATACATTCTAATAGGATCAAAAAACACATGAAGAACTAATTTCATTATAAAATCGAAATTTAAGTACCATAGTTTGGTAAAGACAACGTGTTAAATCCATTGTTATAGAATATCCATTATTACAATAATCTGCCTGTCAGTGTTTATGTGTATTTCAAGTATTTTATTGTGATTACTGTTAATTATTTTCTCAGCCTTGTACTTATTATTACTCACTTTATAATTGGTCTTTTTATAAGATACAAGTTCTATGAAATTAATATTTTAGGAAAGCATTCTATAACATAGGATGTTAGTAGGTGCTAAATAAAAAAGAATCACATGGTCAAATAAAGTTGATAAATGATGGATTAGACCACATTAAACAGATTTTTTTTCTGCAGAACGTGTCAGAGTCTTTAATAAGAAATGTAGACTTGAAAATATGAAAAATAATATGCATCATTTTACAAAACTATTAGACCATGAATCCCTTTACTTTTTTTTTTAAACAGGAAGCATATTCTAAAGTAATGCATGACAGATCATATGTTTAAAGCACCAACTACATGCAACATACTATGAATCAATTTTTAAATGCATTTTTTTTCAATCAAGAAGTGGTTGATTTTCTAGATGGAGAAAAAAATCATAAATATATTTGGTATTGAATAATAATATAAGGAAACAATGCAGAAGGTATCACAAAGTGGTAAATGGTCAATTGTCAAATGAATGGTGTTAAAAATTTTTTTAACAACCAAAAAGAACACAATTTTGTATGGGCCTATGTGCAAGGACCAGAGATACAAAACACATAGAACATGGTTGTTATATTAAAGAAGTAAATAGTGTATGTGAGAGCTAAGACTCTGCCATGCTAGTGTGGATCAGGACACATCCGACCAGCACTTAAACTTTATATGCACCTGAATCACTTGAGGGATCTGAACTGATTGGTAGCTTTGGGATGAGGTTCAAGATGCTGCACATCTAATAAGCTCTCAGGTGGTGCTAATGCCACTGACCCAAGGATCATACATTAAAGAACAAAAAGCAGGTGTTGGCAAACTTTTTGAGAGGTCCAAATAGTAGGTATTTGGGACCATCAGTCAGAATGTTTCAACCCTTCTCTATTCTGTCATTGTCATGCAAAAGTAGTCCTGGGCAATATGTAAATGAGCATTCAAAATAAAAACTTATTTATGGACTCTGGAATTTGAACTTTATATAATTTTTGCTGTCAGGAAATATTATTATTCTTTTGATTTTTTTTTCTCCCATCTGAAAGCATAAAAACCATTCTTTACACACAGTCATGTAAAAATAGGCTTGTAGACAACAAGTTTGCCGAGTTCGAGGAAAAGAGACTGTACTCGTGTAGTCAGCAAAAGGTTCTCTATGAAGTACATCCACCCAAAGAAATTCATCTTTGTCTTAAACCTCTATTGTACTTTTCCCATGTTTGATTTTTCCCTGTAGGAGTGGGTTTATAGCTTCCTTTTGGAAAGTAAAACCACTCTGATGGGCAATATAGGCAGACTCCTCAGTGAGCCTCAGAGTTTGCCAGGCATGTTTTTTACATCACCTGTAGTATGCAATGCAAAACCTTCCTCTACACAGAAAATGCTGAGCATACGTGTGTGCAGTTGAAATTAATTTGTTGGAGAAAACTTTAGTTTGGCCTTAAGGAAGAGTGATCCCTAACTGAGATTAAGGAATGTTTTGGTCAGCTTCTTTTTTTTTTTTTTTTTTTTTTTTTTTTTTTGTGACCAAAAGATCTGGCAAGAACAATTTTAAGGAGCAAAAGTTTATTTAGGGGCTCATGGTTTCAGAGGTCTCAGTCCACAGATGGCTGACTCCACTCCTCAGGGCCTGAAGTGAGGCAGAACATCGTGGTAGAAGTATGTGGCAGAGGAAAGCAGCTGGGAACATGACACCAGGAAGCAGAGAGGGACAACTCTGTTCAATAAGGACAAAATAGAAACCCCAAAGTTATGTGCCCCAGGAATCTACCTCCTCCAGCCACACCCTACCTGCCTGCAGTTACCACTCAGTTAATAACTATCAGGGGATTAAGTCACTGATTAGATGAAGGCTTTCCTAATCCAATCATTGCACCTCTAAACCCTCTTATATTATCTCATACCTGAGCTTTGGGGGGACATCTCATATCTAAACCATAACAAGGAAGAAAGTCAGGAAAAAATTCCAAAGAGAGAAAGTGTGAGCAAAGAAGAATAGGCAAGGGTTACACAGGAATCCTTGAGGGCTAGTTAGGGAGAAATGTATCTCTGGAAACATTTGACAGAAACAGAGGATTCATACAGAAAAAATGATAGAAAATAAAGTTAAATCCAAGTTACATGAAAGGCCTCAATGACAGATCTGAATTTCAGAAAATAGCATGTGTAGGGAAAAGTTTCAAGAGCATTAATCTGATGACAGAATATAGAAAGAATTTATAGCTTGAGACAGAGAGATCAATTAATACTCAAGCTGCAGTGAGCACTAATGGGTGAGGAACTGGACTATGGTTTTGGAAAGAAAACAAGGAAATAAAAAGCCGGGGGTGGAGGGGTGGAGGGGGAGAGGACTGGGAAGATGGTTCTGGGCTGGAAAGCTCTCCACAGCTTTATGAAAACAAAACCACAGTGTGCACTGGAATCAAGAATTACCACCATTCTCAGTTGCCCCCCAAACAGGGTGAGTCCCATTGTACAGAGTGCTCAGTTATTTTATCTTCTATAATTCCCAAAGTTGTGTCTGTTCTTTGGTGAGTATCCCATATTTAGTTTTTTAGTATGGTTTCTGGGGTTCATGTTCTGGGAACTCACAAACTCATTTGCTTTCTTAACTCTCCTTTCAAATGAAATCCAGAGAAATACCTATATGAGGCTACTCTAAACAAAGAAAAAAAAATTAGTCTTCAGTGTCATATTTTCACAAAAGGATGCCAGGTCCAAAGAATTTTGTAAGTGATTAGACTCAGAGAAAATTCTCTTGGTGATAATTAAAAACTAAATGGACACCATGGTCCCAGAGACTTCGATTCTGTTAGTTGCAAATGGCACATTCCTACACATCTCTTTTAAAATAAATCACATGTTAGGACTTGGGGGAAACTTTTTTCTTTTTTTTTTTTCTTTCTTCTTCTTCTTCTTCTTTTTTTAATGTAAAAGCAATCAAATGGTGTTGAGAGTCTGAGGTGTTGGGGGAATAGAAGAAAGAGTGTGAGAAGAAACCTGTGTTAAAACAGCCTGTCGGCCTGTAGCCTTCCACCCCAAGGTCTTGCTTGTTTGGGAAAGGAAAAGTGCAAACCAGCAAGAATAAATTACAGCATAACTACTATTTCTCTCTGCATCTCAGAGGCCAAGGCGGTCTGCTAGAAAGTTTTATAAATATCAAAAATGTGGAAGGCATTAAATCTGTCACTGCTCAGCTGATCAGAAGGGTCAACAAAAATACTGCCTCCTATGATTTTTTTTTAACATGAGGATAAGTTTCCCTTAACAGATATTTTGAGCATAACACATATTACTTTTATATTTTCTTTAGATAAGAATAATAGAAAAAAATTATATTCAATGTAGGAGGCATTTATTATAAAACATCTTATAAGACATTTTGAGTTTTCGTTCCTTTTAATTTTGTAATCAAAATGATCTTTCCAAGTCTGACAATGTCCCTTATTTCAAGGTTCATAAAATGTGCAAGATGCTTTACAAAGAAAACCTACGGGAATTGTCTAGTCATTAATTTCACGGTCTCAAATGTAGAGTTTCCATGAGTAACATCAACACAGATCTTTTATCAAACAAGCATCTTATTGCATAGCATTCAGCCTTGGGTTTCTGCTTTATTGTTTTAAACATCACCATTTCCTCTCTTAACTCTCTGTCCTTTGACCCCCATTTGGCCTGCAGATGGTTCTGTGAGGGGAGAGAGCTACACAACACGCCTGACATTCAGATCCACTGTGGGGGTGGGGACCTTCACACTCTGACCATACCAGAGGCCTTTGAGGACGACACAGGCCGCTATATCTGTCTGGCTACCAACCCCAGCGGCTCAGACACAACATCTGCAGAGGTATTCATTGAAGGTAAGGAGGGTACACAGGGAAGGAGTGGGAAGGGCCTTAGAGCGTCCTTGTAGAACACCTCGTGTGTGCTTTCCCCATGCAAAAAGCAGAGCTGTGTTGTGCTTCAACCCTCATTTCTCCTGAAAAACTCTATAAATAAACCGTTCTGACACTTAGACCTACATGAACTGTGTCTAACGTCAACATTCAGTCCTTCTCATTTATAACCTTTTATCTACATTCACTTGAATTTACTTAAAACGTACAGTGTCTGACTTACTTTTTTTTCCTTTTTCAAGTAAATGAAGCATGGGAATATAATTGAAATACCATATCAACTGCAGTTAAACTACAATGGAGTTAGGAAATCATTTATGGGATTTTCAAGTGATTGAATATTTTTAAATGTTCTCATTTTTAACTGAGTTCTAGAATTGTGCCTCTTCTGTTACGGCTCCCTTATTCTTGCTAAGTGTACTATGAATGTGGAGTTACTTGGTGAGACTGATTTTGGAAATCAAAGTTGTATTAAAAATTGGTAGCAGAGAATGGACTGTTTCTTTTGTTCTATTCGTTATTTTTTATAAGACCTAACCTCCAGGAAATTGGAACACTTGATATCAATGTATTATAGTTTGTAATATTATTGCATTTTGATCCGTACCAGTAATTTAAAACAGATGTATATTGTGCCCAGTGTTTATACCATGTCTAAATCTATAACTTGGTGAACACCTGGTTGATCAGTTACTTTTTAAAATAGTAGTTCAAATGTAGAAAGAATATTAACAACCTTGAGATCTCTACTAACTTAGTCTTCATATTCTAAGCATACTTTTTAGTTGCAGATGACATAATACCTTTATTTTATTTATTTATTTTTATGTAGTGCTGAGACTCGAACCCTGTGCCTCACACATGCTAGGAAGTGATCAACCACTGACCTACAATCCCAGGCCCCTTAATCTTCATTTTTAAAAAACTGTTAAAAAAAACTGTTTAATAGCACCAAATTTCTTCATTCTTTAAAGTGGAAGAAAACTCCATCAAAAATTGACCCCCAAAAAATTAGTTTCAAAGGTATCTCTTACTGCTGGCTGGAGGTATACACCTTTACTTTTAATAAACGGACGCACTATGTTGTATTTGAAAACAAAGATCTTCAAGCTCTTCAAGGAACTTCATCCTCTTAATAAATAAAAAATAAATAAAAGTGACATCTTATATGCAATAATAAGTAATACTCATGTGATACTTATTGAATGCACACACATACTTGTAAATCATTTAAATTTTGTTGTAATCCTTTGAGGCATAATTATTCTCTTTTTACAAAAAGAAAACTGAGACTGAGAGAGGATAAAGGGACCATTCCAAGTCACATAAGAATTGGAACCTCAGGCTGTCTTACTCCATGGTCCACATTCTTAGTTTCTATAAAAACCACTTCACAAAGGTAGTCTTAAGAATGAAAAGAAAAAAAAAATTTTAAAGAATAGGAAAGATATTCTTAACCACTGTATCCTACTGATAGGTATTCAAAGTGCTACATGAATGAAAAAATAAATGATAAGATTTTTAACATTTTGCTAATGAGTTAGCAATAAATTTTCTTCCTGGGTAGGCAATGTAGCAAACTTCTTGAAGTATTTTAGAATGCAGTGAAGGGAACTTAAACTTCCAATTAAAAAACAAAACAAACAAACAAAAAAACCTGTTTGCTAATAGTGATAAGATTTGTCTCCAAATCCAAGTTCACAAACTGCACCTTAAAATGGAATGCTTTATTTGCTTCTAGGATTGCTAGAAATATGGTAAATTTTGATCATACTACTTCTATACTTTAGATATTAAATGAAATCACATTAGATTTTTTCTTCTTTTCTCTCATTTTTTTTTGGGGGGGGGGCAGGGGAATACCAGAGATTGGACTCAGGGGCACTCAACCACTGAGCCACATCCCCAGCCCTATTTTGTATTTTTATTTAGAGACAGGGTCTCACTGAGTTGCTTAGCACCTCACCATTGCTGAGGCTGGCTTTGAGCTTGTGATCCTCCTATCTCAGCCTCCCAAGCAGCTGGCATGCCCCAATTGTGTCTGGCAAAATCATTCTGTCTATGAACTCAACTGATTGAGCCACTCCACTCGAGTTCTGTATGCAGTGTAGGTTTCGTGTTCAGGACTTCAATAAAGATGGTGAATTTCTACAAGAGTAGTTTTCCTGGTGATACCACTAAACATCCTTATGCAGCTAACCAGCCATCAAGCATTTGTGACTTTAGATAGCTTGTGTGTGACTTTAGAAAAAATGAAGGGAAGGTTAAAGGAGCTACACATAACAAGAATAAAGACCTATTAAGAGTCATCTTTGTAAGACCAACAAAGTGCTTTAGAAAACTGGCTCATTACCTTGTGAAATGTGGGTAATAACTTTTTTCTAAAGCAAATAATTTTAGTGTATTTTTATCCCTAAGAACAATTACATGCTATAAGAGAGAACCTCAGAAACATTCCTAGGCGCATATCATCACTTAAAGTCAGAAGTATTTATATTTATGAACTTCAGTTCTGCGTTAGTGTCAGGCATGTCACAACGGAGCTGCTTCCTAAGGCACATGGCCATTACTATATCATGCAGTCACTAGGAGGCTATTAGAGGGAAGGACGTTTTCTGTACAATTTTAAATCTCAATGAAACCTCTGAAAGTTTAACACCCTAAAAGCTGAAAATGGTCTAACTTCTGCCATCCTACATATCAAATTTTAGAAGGAAACAAAAAAAATGATAGCTTAAGAAGAATAGCTAGGGCTGGAGTTGTGGCTCAGAGGTAGAGCGCTCGCCTAGCATGTGCAAGGCCCTGGGTTTGATCCTCAGCACCACATAAAAACAAATACAATAAGTCTATTGTGTCCAACTACAACTAAAAAGAAGAATAGCTAGCATCCATTTAGTGTTCAGTAGGAAAATACTGCTCTTAGTTTTTACATGGGTTATCTCATTTGATCCTTACAAAATCACCCAAATCTACAGTTGAAGAAACTGAAGATGAGGGAGGCTAAGTAGTGATCAAAATGGCAGTTATGTGTGTGTGCGTACGGGCACACACACACACACACACACACACACACACACAGGAGTCAAGGATTCAAACCCAAGCAGTCTTTCTCAAGTCTTCCCTCTTTGCTGCTACAAAATAAAATGCAAAGTTACTCATTATCATGGGGGCCACTATGACCCTCACCTTCGTGGGGTTTCAGAACTTAGGATCTGAGAATGCCATTTTTTTCAGGGCACATAACTGAGCACTTTCTGGCCACTGTCAAGTTGCTTCTGTGAGGCAGGCAGTTTCAGCAGGAGGAGCATCTCGGTGAACAAGACAGGTGCCAACACTTCGAAGAAGAGGGCAGGGAAGCCAGCAAACTCATAAATGACTGCAGACATCAGCAAGTCTGTGAGGGAAATGGAGGTGGCTGACAGGACAGGGGGATCAGGAAGGCCACTCTGAAGAAATGACAGTTGATCAAAGACCAAGAAGAAGCCCACAGGGAATACTGGGGAAAGGGGGCTACAGATAGATAGGGGACGGATACAAATGACCTGGATGGGGAAGACCAGAGGGCTGAGGTAGCTGAGGAAATCTAGGGCAGCTGGAGCATCATCAGTCAGGGTATGTGGGACATGGGGCCTTACGGTCACTGCTAGCAATTTGGTCTGCATTGTAAGTCAAATTGCAATACTGGGAATGGACCCAGGGCCTCAAGCATGCTAGGCAAGTGCTCCACCACTGAGCTACCTTCTCATTGTATTTTTAACTGTTGCTTTGACTTATAATCAGGGAGACCCGTTAGAAGCCTCCTGCATCAGGACAGAAGAGCTTCAATGGTGTTGCGGGAGGATGCGGTATAAAAAGGAACAGCTCAGAGGTAGACATCAAAAGCCCTGCAGTGGGTTAGATGTGGGATGAAAAGAATCAGGTATGAATACTCTGTGGATTTCAGCTCTGCCACTTGTATGGACAATGTTGCCAATGGAGAAGAAGATGGGGGGTTAAGGGATTGAGTGCTGTGCTGTGAACATAAATTTGAAATCTGTGTCTGGATAGCCAAACAGATGGGGCAAGTTTGTTAGTCAGACACATGAATATAGCCCAGTACACAGAGCGAGAAAACTCTGGAGCTTCCACACATAGATGGTAACGGTGGGACTGGATGCACTCCCAGACAGATCAGCTAGGGAGAAGAGAGAAGGGTCTGAGCCTGTGATACTGGTAAGCATTGAGGTTCCAAGAAGAGCTGCCAGCAAAAGAGAGTAAGAAAGAAGAGCCCCTGGGGCAGGACAGAGCCAAGGCAGAGTGGTGTGGGGAGTGTGAGGAGGAGCGAGGCAAATAGTGTTAGGAAGGAGGGAGGTGCTGGCCACGTCCACCCCTGCTGAGAGGTCAGTCAGAGGAGGGCAGGGAGGAAACCACTGGATTAGGCAACTGGGAATGTTGTTGATTTTAGCAAGAGGGGCTTGGGAATTCAAAAGAAGACCCAAGGTCAAATACAATGACCTGAGTCAAGTTTGCAAAATATGGAAGTAGCAGATATTAGATACCCAGTGGGAAGGTTTGCTTGACCACCAGCAGAGAAACCGGAAAAGCCAGTAACTAGATACGTATATAGAGTCGCAAAAGATGTTTTTGTTGTTATTGTTGTTACTGTTGTTGTTGTTTTCAGCCAGGAATTTCTAGAATGTGCCTCTATGCTGATGAGAATAGTGCAACAGAGAAAAATATGTTATTTAGGAGAACAAGATGAAAAGCAGAAAGGAAATGGAGTGTGGCCACATGTGTACTGAGAGGGGAGGGGAGTGTCCTTTAGGACTGTATGACAGGAGATGGTCTAAAGAGTAGGAAAGATGAACACAAACACATAAAATAAACAGACATCTCAACTTTCCACTCCTCCCTCCTCCTGTGAATGTAAAATGGATTATATAGATTATTACAGTTTTAAGAGCTCCAGAGAGGGTGCCATGGTGGTCCTGAAATATGGGTTGAAGGAAGCTGAATTAAACCAGACCTGTGGATAAGGAAGATTTGGATCCAGTGGCATGGAGGACAAGGAAGCATTAAAAATATAGAGGCTGGACAGGAATGCGGAAGTCTGATGTGGGTGGGCGGATGCTGCTTGACACTTATTTTTAGGTTCTGGGGGTTATAAATGATCAGATAAAATGGTGCTACACCCCTTTAAGTTTGGAAGCATGTTGTGATGTGATGTGGATAATTGCTCCTGCTTCCCAGTAAGGTAAAGCCCAAGAGGCCAGGACCATGCAGTACCTCAACATCTGGCAATGGGTACATGAAGGCTGGGCATAGCTCCCTTTTGCTGGATTTTAAAAACCTGCAAAGGGAACCTGAAGGAGTCTCAGCACACCTTGGGCCCACACATTGTTTAAAAGTAATTTTTTAATAATATTTTACGAAGCGCGTAGTTTCATGCTCTGTGACCTTGAACCCTTACTCAATGGCTCTGTGTTCTGTCTCTTCATCTGTACCTAGAGAAAATGAGATTCTTGTCAGGATTGAATGACTTAATCCCCTACCATGGTACCTGGCACATGATGTAGGAAATTATGACTTTGTTTTGTTTTGTTGGTGGGGCGGGCATTGAACCCAGGGCCCTGACTATGACCATGGTAAGTGCACATTCTACAATTGTGCACGCTGTACAACTGACGGTCATTGTGAGGATGCTGATCTGTTTCCTGTACGTGTACATATTTCACTTCACGTGTTCTTTTGTACCTTGATTCTTCTTTTTTTTTTTTTAATTTAGCCTGTCCTCTCACAAACATCTATCCCTGTCATTAAACATTCCTTTCTCCTGACCAGCAGGTGCAAAGCAGATGACTGGAGGGAGGGACAGAATGAGAGAGGGAGGGGAAGAATCGCCCTGAAGGGAAGGAAGGGAACTTACTGGCACAGAGAGAGGGATTTGATCTGTCTTCTGCAAGAGCTGCTCTGACACCTGAGATATAAGGTGACATTGAGATTTCACAAGGGCTGGACAGGTACACAAAAACTAACAAATGTATTCTCATTCTGGGTACACAAATTGACTCTACCTTTTACTCTGAAAATCACCTATAAAAAGGTAGCAAGAATTTTTTTTTTTTTTTTTTTTTGGTGGTGGTGCTAGGTATTGAACCAGGACCTCACACATTCTAGGGACAAATGCCTACCCACTAACAACTAACAACTAAGCAACATCCCTAGCCCACGAATGACTTTTGAAACAGAGGTCATCAGAACACTTTTTTTTTTTTTTTTTTTTTTGCACCAGGTGCACCTTACCACTGAGCCACACCCCCAGCTTCCCAGCCTTTTTTCTTTTTTATTTTGAGACAGCATCTCCCTAAATCGCCGAGGCTGGCCTCAAACTTGCAATCCTCCCTTCTCAGCCTGCAGTCACTGGGATTACAGGCATGCCACTGTTCCTGGCATCAGAAGATTTTTTTTAAATTTTTTTTAATGATTCAAATATTTAGAGTCAGGTGAAAAGTAGCTGCTTGTCTCCCTGACTTCTAGCCACTTAGAGAGTGTCTGGGATCATTCCTGCAGGATGTTAGCCACCCCTCTCCTTCTCCAAAACACTTTTATGATTCCAAGAAAACCTGTCTCTCAGGTTTCCCAGCCTCTCTGATAATCACAGCTTTCCTGGTGGCTCCTCAGGGATTCCCCTGCTGGCTCCCCCACCACCACCACCACCACCACCACCTCCTGGTCACACTTGAAACTTCCTCCTGGTCTACAGTTTGTGCTGGATGGTCTGTTGTTTGTTTTTTCCCTTTTTATTCTATTACACCCCCAGTTAATCCCGCACAGTTTATTTCACCATCAGCCTTCTCAGTGCCCAGACACGTCAGCCCCAATGTGCCAGCCCTGCCCATGCTGGCCTCTGCTGCTGCCTTACTACATGCCCCCTCTACTTGCATGGTCTGCTCCTGTCCCCAGACAAGCTTTGTGATTCCCTTATTCTATGTGTTCATTCCAACAGAAGCTCCAGGCCAGCCCTGTGCATGAAGCTAAGCACCATGAGGAACACAGACATGCAGAGCACAGGAAAGTCACAGGGCATAGGAAGGTCACAGACCATGAGTTCAAAAACTTGTGTGCAATCCTGTCAACAACACTTTCTAGCCATGTGACCTCATGCAAACTGCCCGACCACGTGGTTCTCAGGTTTCCTCTCTATAAATTGGACATAACTCACTTCTTAGGTTCATTATGAAAATAATTAAATGATATAAAGAAAGCCTGGCGGACTGTCAGGCAAGTAGTAAGTTCTCACAAATTGATAGTTCCCTTCCTAACCCTGCCTCCGTTCTCAGAGAACTAATAGTTTTCTAGCAGGTATGATAAGTGGCATGTATGGTGCAAAGAAGAACACTGGGAACTCAAAGGCAGCACAGAAAAATGTCTGGGCTGATCCAGATGTCAAGGCAGAATACCAAGAAAAGACTGGGTAGGCGTAACCGAGGAAAGCAAATACTGCAACTATAGGTACAAAGTAGAGCATGAACAAGGAGGAAAGCCCTCACCTCTCTGGGTCCTGAGGGAGCCCTCCCCTGCATCTGACTTAAAATTGTAACTCCCATCACATCCCCCTCTGCCTACACTCCAGCACCCCCATTTTGCCCATTTTACTTTTGCCCATTTTACTTACCACCATGTCCTGTATTTCATTGTCTCTTCTATTGTCTGTGTCCTCCAAGAGCACACACTCCACAAGGACAGGGATTTGAGTATGTGCCTGCTTCACTGCTATATCCCCTCACCTGTGGAATACACCCCAGTGAGTATGTTTGATGCCCTGCATCAGGATGATATGACTTGGAAATGCAGGAAGAAAATTGGGGTGGAAATCACAAAGGCCAATGAAATGTCAGATTTGGGGAGTTTTAATTTTCTGAGGCTCGTACATCATCTAGTTCTTTAACAGGAAAGGTGTGCTCTAGGAGCATGAATGAATGTGGCAGGGAGAGAAATGGGAAAACGAGATAAGCGTCTATTGCAGTAATCCAGGAGCCAGGTGAAGAAAGCCCACGGTGGATGGTAGTTATAGAAATAAGTAGGAAGGGACAAAGCAAACATTCCATCCGAGTTACAAAGCATGTCTGTGTTCAACACCAACAAAAGACAAGAGCGTATACCAACAGAGGCACAGGAGGAAATTCTAGACAGCCAGTCAAGAGAATTAAGTGAACTTATGTAATCTGCACATACTGATAGACAAAAGTATCTATTTAGAAGGAGCACTCAGAGTATGAATCCATTTGCATAAATATGTACATAAATATATGTGTGTTGATACATTTACCTTATCTGAAAAATACAATCCCAACATGTGCCTGATGGTATTTTAGGGAAGTACCCTCAGATCTTAACTATTATATTGCTCAATACTGTACTATTTGGTTATTTTTCTATAAGCCTGTGTTATTTTGCAAGATAATTTTAATAACCCAAATGAAATGTATTCTATAAAATATCAAGAATATACTTTTAACCATTGCAGTTACTTTAAGTTTGCCACTCAGAATCTCTTGACATACAATATGTAAATATTAAAATCTGAATGCAGTTTACCGTTAGACTAAAACTCTGATGTGATTCTCTATTCAGGAATAGAAATGATACAATTGAGTCTGGGAGGGCAGGGTCCGAAAATCAGAGGCCCTCTTATCCAAGATTGAAGCTACCGTCATATACTTGAATTTATCCAAGAGTCAGAAACTATCTTCTGATTAATGAATAATAAAGAGATTAATAATCCACACCATGGTAATCTCCTAGGATTAAAGTTTAAAATCATGAGTATTTTCCCACACAGACACACACATTTATTCTTTGTTTTTAAGCCATGTAAAAGTGTAATTGTGATGGCCAAAGTGATAAAAAAATGAAACTGATAATAAAGCTGGCTTTAAAAGCATACTGCTTTAAAAAAAAAGAGCTATTTACCATAATTCTTTTTTAAAATGATTTTTTGAAGAGTCCAATAAAATGATATGAATCTGAATCATTCTCTATTTTATTGTGTATTTAGACCAAAACTAAGACTTTGTAGTTTACTGTTTAAAGGTGAGGAACATTACTCTGAAATTATGGATACCACTGAATCTTAACTTTATCCTTATTTTTTAAATGCTTTCCCAGGAGCCAGTTCCACAGATTCTGACAGTGAAAGTTTAGCTTTCAAGTCAAAAGCTGGAGCTATGCCACAGTAAGTACCTATGTTTTCATTGCTCATCTCTGTAACAAGGAATGACAACCAAATTTGGGGACACTTATCCAGGTGTGTTGTGCTTGACTGGGAAAGGTCATCTGACAGTCATTGGAAATCCTGTATTTCAAGTTGGAACGAGGTTTAACTTATAAATTTGCACTCTGAATTCTGCATTTCATTATCAGTGTGCCCAAACCAATCATATACAAGGGTAGTTTTAAAGACAACCATCTAACTTATCAGTTATTCCTACAAAGACATATGGATTATTCAGAAAACATAAAATATCTTAATTATTTGGTAAAAATTACTAGAATTTGGTAAGAAAACCCCATTGATGTTGAGATGTGCTAACAAACGTCTTTATTTGCTAGTAAACACATGTTAGTTACATTCATTCAAAATAATAACTACCCCAGTTTGATTATAGTACATTGTATATGTGCATCAAATTATCACATTGTACCTGGTAAATATGCACAATTCAAACAATAGTGAAATGATATATAAACTTAAGTCTATCCATTCAGCATCAAATAATCCCAGATTCTAAAGGGACCTTATATGATCATGTACTTAACACCTCTCATTTCAGACAAAGAGCTCAAGTTCAATAAAGTGATGTGACTTGCTTGAGGGTACATGGCCATCTCCTTGACAATGGTGGACCTAGACACTGAGTCATCTTAATCTTTCCCTTACACCTCACTAACACTTATGCACTGAGAAAAGACAAAAAACGCTCAACAAAATTGTAAAACAGAATGAAGAACAGCTGCTAAATGGAAAATTTGAATTAAATATGGGACCCTAACCTTAAAGATTTTAAATATTTACTTTTAAAGATTAGGCCTCTTCCAAGTATTAGGATTCTCAGGGTTAATACTTTTGAATCTTTCACAAAGATTCTAAATTATTTCACTCAATATCCAGAAGGTACATTCTGTGTTCATGCTGACTACAGCTTTTCAAGCTTGTAAGTTGGGCTTCAATTTCTGAAATAGTGACAGTTGAAGTATACAGAAAGAAACCCAGCTCTTCTGTAGAAATATTTCAAAGAAAAATTCCAGCTAAAACATTCTAACTGGACACCTGCCTTCCCCTGTTTTCCAGAGCTCAAAAGAAAACAACTTCTGTGTCCTTGACAATAGGATCATCATCTCCAAAGACAGGAGTGACTACAGCTGTGATTCAGCCATTGTCTGTCCCAGTTCAACAGGTAATTGTGCCTCAGGCCAGATCCCACAAGGAACTGAATTCATTAGCAAACTGCTTAGTTTTAAGAATATCACTTTGATTCTAACTAGCAGACATCCTAAAAATATTTTCTAAGTGGAAACAGAGCTGGGAGAAAAGAAAATGGTAGGTACTGTTCTTCCTTTAATTCGGGTAAAATTTTTCTTTAATCAAATCCACACCACCAATTAGCCAACACCTGTGTTTGCATTGGAAACTTGATGATATCTGTTTTAGCTATAACTATTGGATTCCTTCACATAAATTTTCTCTTCCAATTAGCCAAATTCATTAGCTCATCTAAAAGACAAGAAAAGTTCCACATACCCACAGAAAGCTTTCCCAGCCCGAGAAGTTAAACAGAAAACAAGAAAAAAATTAAAATTACTAGCCTTCACCATAGTTTCTCATACTGCTTTTATCTTATTATAAGAGTCCATTATCCAAGAAAGAACAGTAATACAAATTAGCAATGAATGGTAGTGAGTTTACTTTGCAAACCAAAAACATGAAGATTATATATATATATATATATATATATATATATACACACACACACACACACACACACACACATATATAACTGTTAAATCTAAATGTCTCTAAATCACTGCTAGAAGACTATCCTTAAATATAATATTTATGATAATATGGGTGGGTGTCCAGTTGGGGTGCAGGTTCTTGGCTTTGGAAACAAAGAACTGAGCCAAACATGCAGAAGTAACAGGCTGAGCATAGATTTAGTGAAAGAACATTCTATAAAGTGGAGCTAATTGGTCTGGAAGGAGTGGCTCAAGGCCTGGATGTCTGGGCCACTCTTACATGGTGAGCTGTGCCTCATCCCTTTCCTGTGGACATGATTGAAAACTTTACCTTCTTTGTTTCCATTGGTTACTTTATTTCCACCCAATTAGAATATAGATCTTGTGGTGGGAGTTGCTAGGGTAATAAGCCTTCCATGGTGGGACTTGCCATAGTAATGGGACTTACCATAAACAGAGACATGATGACTTATCTCCCTGTCTTGTACTCTGTCTGGCATTTTTCTCGTACCCTGCCTCCGCCATCTTGATGTCCCTCAACTCCTTCCTCACTTACAGAGGGTTTTCCCATACTCTTGAAATATAAACCCATTTCTAACTAAAGGGTATGTCTTGTGAGCACCACTGTGCCTTTCATCAACCTTTTTTATCTGTTAAATACAGATATTTGAGTGACATTGTGACACATACTGTAATATGTGGAAAATGGAAACAGTAGGGAAAAGACATTTGGGCCCATCACCTTGAAAAGAATCATCCAGTCTAAGTTATTCAGAGAGGCATATGTAGTAAATATTTCCTTTAAACCCCTAAACCAGAGTACAAAATTTATAGAAAAATCTCTGATTAAATCAGTGGATTTTGTGTGTGTGTGTGTGTGTGTGTGTGTGTATGTGTTTGATGTTTAAATATCTAACAAGTATTTATTTGAATGCTGAGTACTGCACTAGACATGTCATATCAGAAAATATATATAGCCAGCCCCATTTCCAGACAGTTTATAAACTAGTCTGAGAAACAGGAAATATACACATGAAACACTTCTTAAGTATGGCAGAATTTATTAAGGGATAACACAGTAACCTAAAAACAGAAAGCCACATTCATCTCTAGATATAAATACTATGATGATGTGAAGAGTACATTTTAAACTGATCTTAACTCTACAGTAACACTGAATGGAAGGTAATATATCCCCCTTTTATAGTTGGAAGAATGTAGTACTCTGGAAAATTCCATCACTTTCTTATCACAGGCAATGTCACATAAAAGTTAATGCTCTGGAGTCAAGTTGCCTGGGTTCAGATCCCAGCTCTACCACTGCTTAAAGGACTTTGAGCAAATAAGGTAACCTCTCTGTGCCTCATTTGTTCATCTGCGAAATGGAGATAATAATACTGCCTGACTCAGAGGGTGGTCATGAAGTTCAATGAGGTAATCCTCACATGACACTTAATACCATGTCTAGTACAGAGTAAATACTGTAAAATGTTTGTGTATTTTTTGGATGGTGTTAGGTGAGACCCAGATCTCCCGAACCACAATCCTTTCTTTCAGGGATAATGAGTAAGATCTATCACTGTCTTAGCATCTCTTCAACTCGGCCAGTCTCCCTTGGGTCCTACAATGTATTAGGCACATAACATCAGATCACATCATCTTGGGTTAAGAATCTAACACCTGCTTGCCTCACAAGCACAAGGCCCTGGGTTCAATCCCCAGCACCATACACACACACACACACACACACACACACACACAAAAAGTAACACCCACTTATATAAGTGAATAAGTCCAGACTGTTTGAAAATAAGTGATTGTACACAAAGAAATATTTTCCACTTACTGCTCTAAAATCCTTGTATTTTCCCAGAAATGAACACCACTCAGTATTTCAGCACCATTTTTTACTTGAAAAAATTTTCTTCTTTTTTTTTCTTCATTTCCTATAATCCCTTTTCTTGAAAGAGCACAAGTTAAAATTAAGATAGGTAGATGTCTGAAAATCTACTTTGCACTGCCAATAGCATATGCTATTTTGATTCAATGAATCCACACTATTTAAAAATAAAATATAATGTCTGTGAGAACTTCTAAAAAGACCCCTGTGGAAGTCCCACACACCGAAATCCATTTGGTAATAGCATTTAAAAGCTTGTGGATCCCTTAGGAGCCGGGGAACCTTTACCTCAAATATCCTTTGAACAGAGAAGAGTAACAGATGTGAAATGAGGAAGGAGAACAATATCTGCTCTGTGAGTGGGCCAGCAGATGATGCATGGCAATACCCTCCTTCGCTTGTTTCATTCAAGGGGAGCAATTTCAATAATGAAAGGTTTCTTTAGCCCATCTTTTCAACAATTTATATATTTAGAATCTGATCCATGTGTCTCTGCTTTTTCAGGTTCACAGCCCCACTTCATATCTCTGCCGACCTGATGGAACCACCGCAGCCTGCTTTCCTCCTGTTTTTACGAAGGTCTGACATCTGGAAGACTCATTCTCTGTGTTTGCTTTGGTCCTTAAATTTCATTCACATGTGGCTTCGGGTAGCAGTCTTGAAAAATTAAAATGAACAGATTAAGAGGCTGATTATCATGGTTACCTTTGGGGTGAAATTGTTGCACAACTGTGGTGTGACTCTCCTCTTGTGAGAGGTCTAAGAGGTGTGGGTGTGAGCAGGGACTTGATAGGGCTTAAGATGTAGAGGGAAAGCCAAGACAGGTGGAAAAATTCAGACACAATGGGATGCTCAAAATTTCTTTGGTTTTCCAAGGAAATTGCAGGAGAGATCTAGAAGGCTTTATAGAAATTTTAAAAATAATTTGCTCCATGTCAGTGATTTGATTTGACAGGTTGAATGATGTCCATTTCATTAGATGACTACTCAAGTCAGAAATTGTTCCATCTCTTTACTTTTCTTCTCCTCCTTCTCCTCCTCCTTCTGCGTGTGTGTGTGTGTGTGGTGTGTGTGTGTGTGTGTGTGTGTGTGTGTGTGTGTACACCAGGGATTTTGAAGCAAGGGGTGCTTAGCCACTGAGCCACATCCTCAGCCCTTTTAATTTGTATTTGGAGACAGGGCCTGACTAAGTTGCTGAGGCTGGCCTTGAACTTCAATCCTCCTGCCTTAGCCTCTGAGCTGCTGGGATTACAGGCATGTGCTACCACACCTGGCTTCTTCCTCCTCCTCCTCCTCCTCCTCCTCCTCCTCCTCTTCCTCCTCCTCTTCC